GAAATTATAGTGTATAATCCATAAATTTAGAGATTTGCAAAGATCTTGGAAGATGTGTTCATTCGTGTATCTCATGAATGTTTGGGGTTTGTAAACAAATTCAAGTTCCTACTTTAAGGCCATGTCAGGTCTAGCTGCACTGTCAGCAGGGTGCACTTTGGGAGGAATTGAGGCCTGTGTCAGTCGCTGCTTTTCACAGTATTGGGTCAGGATGGAGGGAAGATCCCTAGCCATACACTTGCCTGGAAAGTTGAGTATAATTTGTAGGTAAATATTTTAAAACAATGTGTTTTACAACAAGTTTAAACAAACTTTAAGGTGCTGCCTTAGACCCTGTTAGGTCTGCCTCTGGTAAGATATAATGGATGGGTATTCAGCTCTCCATGCCACTTAAGTGTTTCTGGGACCTTTGCAGTACTGCAAGTGCCTCGCCTTAGAGCAGCCTTTCCAGTTTTCACAAGAAGACATGCCCCGAGTGCGGAAGAGGATTTACAAGGAGCTGTGTGAGTGCCGGCTCATGGACTGAAACTCAGCAGGGACTCTGAGAAGTCTGACCAAGTTGGAGCAGATGGTTTGTTACTTGAATCTCCAAACACTTATTTGAATTTTTACAGATATTTCAGATCAGTGGTGTTGGGCCACTATTGTTACCTCAAATTTATTTTTTGCCCTTACTCATTTCTCCAGCTACCATGTACTTTCGTTTAATGTTCAGTTTGGTTTCATTTTTAATTTTATGGATTCTGTGCATCCCCCATATTTAATATTTATTATCCAAACGCATGCATATAGACAGAGCATGCAGTGAAGAGTATTAAAAAAGCTTAGTAGATTTGGTGCAGCTTTTGAAACTTAGTTAGACATGAACTGAATACAAGTTTCAAATTTAATCCCAGAATCTAAAAAAATGCAAGATGTTTTTGATACAGCATAACTCTGAGAATAGTAGATATTCCCTGGGACATAAAGGGTAGCTGGGAGTGGCTTTGATAAAGCCGGTCCTGTTTTACATTTACCAGCAACACCTTTCACTGACTTCCCTCTCCAAATGAGTCTTAGAGGGAGACATGCATTCCTTTTGAAGGGTGAGATGGGAGTGGCTATAAACAGACTGGCGTGTTCTGTTTATGGAGGCCCACTTGTAAGCACAGCACCTGCTTTGGGAATAGTTGGTGAGGATGTGAGAAAAAGACAGCAACCTTGGGGGCCAATTATCTTAACAAATGAGAGATATCAATCGTGGCTTTAAGGATTATAATACATGGCCTACATCTCATAAAGGTTTTTGCTGGGACACTGAATTCCTTGGATTTTTCTGGTTTGACCTGTTAAAAAACTTAACATCCGTCAAACTAATGGTCAACCAAATGAGAATTCAGCCTTTCTAAGAGTAATTTGCAAGTTGTTATTTCCCTTGTGTTGCCTCCCATATGGAAGAGATTAAGATTTACCAAATACATTTCTCTTTCAAGGGTATCTGAAATTTAAACATTCAAAGTCAAAGACTGACTTTAGGTCTTTTGCAGGGTGGATGGGGAGAAGAGGGAAGGTTATAAAGACAACTTGATTCCATGGGAGTGCAGCAAATATATTAGGGTTTTTTTTTTCTCCTATCTCTTTGGTGATCTCAGCAACATGCAGGGCTCATTTGGCTTCTGCATGAGCAATCCTGACACTCTAGCATAGTTCTTTTTTTCATTTCTATTGAACCTCATCTTCTGCGGGAAAGGCCAAAGTGGCCCTGTCCTTATGCTTAGCCACGTTAGGATTAAAGTAATGGATCTTACATCTTTAATTTGGCCTTTTGTGACATATTTGAAAGGGAAAGAAATAAGGAAAGATGTATGTTAAACCTACCTAATCATTCTTTGTAAACCAGGGGAGGAAAAACAAAAAATGTATGTGTGAGAAACTCACAAGACTGTATTGAAAAATATCAACTAAATGGCAAAAGATACTTGAATTTATACCTGGTTGGGTTTGGAGTGTTGAAAAGAAAAAGCTAAAATGTTTAGTTTAACTTGGCTATAAGGTATGGCTGAGAAAAGGCTGACTGCCAGCATTTGAGGGCTGAGTCAGACCATGTTTACATGTGGGGTTCCCAACGCCAGTGTTGACACTGGGAAGCAGCCCCAGCACTTTCCTCTCCTGAGTCCTCCAGACTCAAACTCCTGAGTGTAAAACCAGGTCAGTATTTCTTATTGTGCTTCAAGTCGTTAAAAAGACTGAGAGTAGAGGCACTTTATGCTGCTACAAGTAGGGTTGTGTCAGCATTAGGAAAGATAACAAGAGTGGGAAGATGTTTCTTAAGGTTTTCAGACATAGATATACAAATGTGAGGTTTTTCAAAATTTGTATGCGAGACATTTGCCTCTGATTTTTGGGGGGGGAGAGCGGTGGTATACCAAAGTAGCCAGTAACTAGGCTATCGATTCAAAATGTCTTGTACTTCAGTGTGAGGAAGTATCTGATTTCCTCAATGACAGAACCAGGCATGGAGAAGAGACAAAAAGATTTGTGTTCCTGCAAGAATCCTAATGCCCAGAGTTTGAGTTGCCATTTCTTCCAATCTGGGAAATGGTCATCGTGTCAGCACTGAGGCATACAGGGACCAGTATAGGGACCCTTAGGTGAGCTGTCCAAATCCAGTTACTCCTTCACTTCCAGCTTAATAGGGCATCTTGAGGTGCACTGCCCAGCATGGTTTAGCTTAAATGTTGCATTTTAAAAGTCTGTTTTTAAATGTTTCTGCCATTTATGAAACTTGGTTTCGGCACATATAGTTGCTTTTCCCTTTCTTCTTGTGATTAGGTATATAAACCTCTATTTAACTCAAATCCTAGATTAGAATGTCCTTTGTCCTGATGTTTGCAATAATTGCTTCCTTAGTAAGAAAGGCATTTTTGAAATATACCCTGGGCTCTTGGTGAAAGAGACAGGCATTGCTTTACTGTCATTAGCTTGGCACTAAACGGTTCGGGTGCCCACAAAGTGGAGAAACCTTATGTTTTTGGGGTCAAGCACAGGCCTTATCAAACTAAAAGCTACTTTTTTTTTTGGAGACAGGGTCTCACTCTCTTCCCTGGGCTAGAGTGCAGTGGTATCATCATAGCTCACTGCAGCCTCAAACTCCTGGGACTACAGGTTTGCACCACCATGCCTGACTAATTTTTTATTTTTTTGTAGAGACAGGGTCTCGCTCTTGCTCAGGCTGGTCTTGAATTCCTGGCCTCAAGCAGTCCTCCTGCCTCAGCCCCCCAGAATGCTAGGATTACAGGCGTGAGCCACCATGCCCCGCCTAAAAGCTACTTCTGATGAACTTTCCACAAGCTGCCTGGTCCTCTCCATCAGCAAACTTATCAGGCTGTAGTTGCTTCTTTCTAGTGGTCTTTCCTTTTGTTAAATCTATAGCAATGAATATAGATTTAATTCAACTTTTAGTTCTCTCAAGAATCATAAGAGAATCAACTTTCAGTTAGCCTCTTAAGAAAGGGAAAAGCAGTTGCTGCCAATAATCCCCAAAGCACATTTTTGCCTTTGTATTCTATTTTCTACTTAGCATTGAATATAAGTAACATGGTCATCCTCAGTTTATAGTTGGAATAAAACAATAACAGACCTAACTGGGACACAGTCAGCATTAGCCTAATCTGAGCTGCCCTTATTCTTTGCAGTCGTGGTACACTGCTTCCCTGGGTTAGAAGAAGTAACTGGGGTGTCTGGGTGGGTCAGACCCTTCAGGCAAGAAACAATGTATTAATAGTGTGGATTATATATATACTAATTACCTGCTCTGCTTAATCATGTGGAGAAACTGAATTAATCAGAAATTATAAAGCACATACTTTGTTATGTGCTAGGCTTTGCCTCCTGGCCTGTAGATAATTAAGACCTAGGGAATACCATCAGAGATGTGCTATGTTATTTGGGTGTTACAAAAGCAGATCTAGACAAGCTGTCCACTTAAATGGTACCTGTTGGTCAGAAAAAGAATTTATTTAAAGATTATGATCATGTAAAGTTACAGTACTCAACCCTTCTAGCAAAATATTTTTTTTAAAAATAAACTAAATGCCTTTATAAACTTGTGTCCTCTTGTGTTGAATAACATACATTGTTTGAGTAGTAATCTTTCCCAGTGACATTCCATTCATGACAAGACTCATTTAAGAACAGGGACCAGTGTATACCCTCACCAGCCTACCCTTAGAGCAGCATTATCCAATAGAATTTTCTGCAACGATGGAAACATTCTATACTTTCATCCACTACAACAGCCACTAGCCACATGTGGCTACTGATCATTAATATGTGTTTAGAATGAGAAATTGAGTTTCAAGTTTGGCATGTTGGCTAATAATGTGTAGGGACAAGACAGTCTGCAGATCCAGCCTGGCTAGATCTGACACCTAACCCACATATCATATTCCCTAATCTTAGTATACACATCTGAACTTCCACTTTCTCTGGTTAAAGTGAGAAAAAGGTCAGATGCTGTTCCTGAAACAGCAAAGAAGGGTGCAATGAAAAGACTGTCATATTTAGTGTTCCCAAGCCCAAGAAACCCTGCCAATCATCCAGAGCATGTTTTCGGGAAAATGAACCTATTCTTCATCAATAGAGAAGTTTGCTTGATGCATCTTTTATTATTTTCACAAGAACAAGCTCTCTCTTCATATGAAGCCATAGCTAGTTGCAACTGTCAAATCAAAATGGATGCAAATTCTGCACATTATTCATAGATAACCCCCAAAACTCACTCCTTCTTTATAGGGTAGGAAAGAGGCAGAGACAATGATAAGTTGGTCCAACTTTATTAAAACCTGTTACAGGAGACACAGTTCAAATAATCAGTTTGTGGTTTTAAGGCCTGTAGTTATGTTTTACTACAAAAGAATATAAAATACATTAGTTCAAACTACAGTGTAAAAAGAAATTTTAAAAATGAACAGTGTATCCTCATAAAATGTTTGCAAATAATTTCTTTCTAAGCACTTACAACTAGTTACAGCTCTTTTAAAAATGCAGATAACCAGTTTGAATTTAATGAGAAAACGTGTTCATGTTAGGCACTTCGGCCCCAACTTTCACAAACTATTGCAAGTTAGAAGATACTTTGTTGCTAAATGAAAAAAAAATCACATTTTTTCACATCAGGCAAAATTGAACTAGACTTAACAGTTTTAAATGAGCAATAATAGCTCACAACATTGGAGAGAAATCACCTCTTGCCTCACAAATGCAAAATAAATTCTCTAGACTCCCCTCTCTGTAGAGACTATCAGCTCCCTATCAAAGCTTGAACCTCAGTAAGCACAATTTGGGAATGAAAACACACTTTAATATGAGAATTGGTTAGAATAGACATCTCCTGCAGGAAGCTTCTTTGATTGTTTTTGTTAAGCATTCTCTCAATCTTCAAGCTCTTTAAAACCCACTCCATTCCCAAGATCACTGAAAATGAAAAGAATAAATCAGATGGCCCTGACAGCAACCTTCACGTCAAGGCAATGTTTTAACTCGTGTCTCTGATTCTTCATCCCTCATTTCCTACTGACAGTGTCTCCCTCACCTCTTGGAGTATTTGAGGTTCTCCATATTACAGACCCTTGCTTCCTTTTTTTTTTTTTTTTTTTTACCTTCAGGTATAACATTTACATTTTTTTGAAAAAAATGTGTTTAGTAAACACTCTTCAAGTCCTGCACCTAATTTCCTGATATGTAAAACATAGAAGCTTTAGTCTCCTGGGACTAAGGTTTACTTTTGCACCAACTATTAATATTTAAGAAGGCTCCTTGATGTCTAAGTTTTCCTTTAGAGATCAGAATTCATAAAAAAAAAAAAAAATTTCAGTTGTGAAACACCTGTTACTAATTTAGAGCAAAGCTATACAACATAGCAAAACTCCATTTATTAAACTTTATCTCATGCAAACTTAAAAAAATAATTCCAGGCCCCAATATAGATCATGAATCTACTTAGACTCAAACATGGTAAAACAAATTTTTAAATTTTTCCAGTCTTCCCAAAAGAAGTGCAGATCAAATCTGCTGCCAAAGAACATAGTTTTTGACCTGGTAACAGAAAATCATTCCGGTGACCTGACACATGGCCAAGATTCTAAGACTAGAATTAAAGGCATTCTTTTGGATTCTGTCCTTTAATAATTTTCAGAGGAAAACCATCAAGAGGCTTCCAGCTCAGTAGAGATATTGATCAAAGCTTTATAAAAATGAGCTGGTTTGAAGACCTTCGGTAAGGTTCAATAAATTCAACAGGCCAAAGGAGTGAGTTTTTCACCGATGGAGCTCTCACCACTCACTGGTTTTGTGCCAGTTTTCCATAGCCTCCTCTCCCAGCATCATAGTCTTGCCGATACTCATCTCGTACCTTAATTGAAAAGAACACAAAGTTATAGAGAAGATTGGTATAACAAATCTGCTTCCCACAAACATGTCAGACAAACAGTCTGCTAAATCTTTTCAGGTGCCATAGGACATTCAAGTAGGATGTACACACCTAAACCTGTTTCAGTGTTTTGTTTTCATTCTAGACACTCCTACATGTAGAATATGTCTAGCCCCTAGCAGAAGTTCAATAATGGTTCCTTGTAGAAATGTACAGAATATACTGTTTCAAGGTTTAAACTAATTTACCAAAACCAATGGGTGGTTTTCAGATTTACTTCAAGCCAAGCTTACAGGCACAAAGTTATTTATAAAATAGTAAATACAAATTGACAAAACACCTGTCATCACGACTGGAATCTCAGGCAAAGGCTGAGCCCAGAGATCGATCCTACATACCTGGCCCCCAGATCGCCCACGTCCATACTGCCTGCCCTCCTTAAAGCCTGCATCCCAATCTGTGCGAATGATCCGGTCATCCAGACGAGTTCCATTTATGTACCGCATGGCATTTTCTGCATCTGCTCTTGAATAGTATCTTAAGGATAAGTATTAAGGAACACTAGCATTTCTCTAAATGCTTTGGAAATACAGGAAGCAACACATAAATAAACCTGAGTTGTTAGGAAAAAGTACAGAAGCTAATCCAACCAGATTGAGTTCAAAGATGATAACTTAGCTTGCACAGGGCTGTTTGAGGCTGGTCCAGAAGCATTCTGGGAGTCAAACATGATACTTTTCCACAGCTACATTGATGATGATTTCCTGGACATTCCTGTTAATAATTCTTTGGTCCCATTGTCTCCGTATTTTGGCTTGCAAAATATAAAATATATTCAGTGTAGGTTTTAGACCACAAACTGTATACTTCTTATCAAAGAAACAGTGATATCCAAATCGGGCACTATGTATTCAAAAACAACTGTGATAAAAAGAGGAGGTCACAGTGCATGTGGAATTGCCACTGCATTTCACTAGAAGGAAAGGCTCAAAGTATCACCCAGGTTAGTAGTTCCCAAACCCATTTAAGCAGATCTTAGGATAGTATTAATATTTTTAAAAATCTCTATAAGCAAAGATGATTAGCAGGGTTTGGGAAATGCTACTTTAGACTTTTTTCTTGTCTTTAATTACACAGGTAGGGAAACACTTGGTGGAATTCCAGTATCCAGCACCTAGACAATGCCTAGCACATAGTAGGCATTCAGTAGTTTTATGCTGAATGAATAAAATGAATGCTAGATGGACAAACTGAGAAAAACTGCTGGTAATAGCAACTTCTCTTTGGGTATTTGCTATTTATGTCTGTTGGTCTTTGACCTACAAAGCAAATGCAAAAACACTCTGGTTCTCAGAGACTCATTATCTACTGGATAGATTTTCTTTGACTTGAATTTTCATTGTTCTCCCTGTCCCCTGTGAACTATTTTATGCCATTGCTATCGGCGGCAAAAGCAAAACTTGGGCAACCTGGTCCCTTGTGTCTGATGGGAGAATGGAAGAAACTTGCTGAGCCCAGAAATCAGATACCAAAATCACAAGTGGAGAATAGGTTCACAAGCAGGGCTTTTGGTTCAAGTTGGTAAGAGTAAACATATTTCTACCTTCTTGCTCAAGGCCACATTAAAAGGTCAGGAAAGAAACATATAGAGCCTAGCAGTGGACTAGAGATTGAACAAAAGCTCATGGAAGAATGCTAATGGATGAAACAAAAGTCACCCATGGAAATATTCTTGAAGGAGATAACAATCTACAAGAGGGTTTTAATTCAAAGTTGAATAAGAAGGGAGGCTGCAAATATGGTTTAATTAAAGGTTTATCTGGGAAGACCCACAAGCAGGAAGGCGTATATCCCAGGCAAATAAAAATAAAATAATAGGGTTCTGAATGAACTGTCTGGAGGAACTAGTGTCTTTGATGCTAGCAGGCCAAAATAAAATCTCTCTTCATTCTGGCATCTGAGAAACCCACACATCCCAAAGGCAAGACAGCAATTTGAGAAAGCAGCTCTGGCTCCAGTGAGTAAGTATTCTTTTCCTTAATTATGAATGGAAACACAGGGCTCATCAGACATTTGAGGAAAATTTACAACATAAATACAACCAAAACAAACATAATTCAGGGCACAGAAAAAAAATTCAAAAGACACATTAGATCAGGTCTGGGAAATTTCTCAGAATCTAAAATGGCAAAAAAATAAAATATTAGTAAAAAGACCCAAAGGCTAAATCCAGGAAGTACAATAATTATAGTTTCCAAGCGGATAATAAATCATCACAAGTAAATACAGTTTTGATTTTTACCTACAAAATCAATCCATATCTACATAATGAAATACTATACAGCCATTTTAAAAATAGGTAGACCTACATGTGCTAATATGGAACAATCTCTAAGATAGGTTTAAAAAATTACACATACAGTATGCTACCACACAGCCACAAGACTATTTTTGGAAAGACACCCAAGGAGCCTGTAACTGACTGACTGTGGGGAAGGGAACTGGGGGTTTAGAATGGTACAGGGAATTCATTTTCACTATACCCTTTAGACTTTTTTCTAACACCAAGGGCACGTACTCTCGAACAATTGTTTTTTTTTTTTAAGCATCAACCATAAACAAAGCACAGATTTCAGAACAGAATGTACATATTACCAGTTTTCACATTATAAGAGTGTAGGCACATTGGACAGAAGGTAGGAGGTAGAAAAAGGAAGAAGTGTAGGGATGCTAATAAGCTAATACCTTCATTTTTTTTGAACAGGCAACGAATCTCAGCTCTCCCCTGGTTCAACAGCTACATTAGACATTCAAGAAGGATACTCCACAAAACAGAATCCACATGCTGTTTTTTTCATTTTATCCAGACCCATAATGATTTTCTTTATGTCACCGCTTTTGCTGAAGAGTTCATAGATTTGTTCTTCAGTTGTGTAAAAGGAAAGATTTCCAACATACAATGTACAGCTTTTCTTCAGTAACTTTTCCTGTTCTTCATTGTCACCCTAGAATTTCAAATAGAGACAAAGTTAAGCAATACAACTTAAGAAGAGCCTTGCTTAAATAATATTTCTAAGTATGGCAAAATATTAATTCTGATTTGGAAATCAAATCTGCATCCCAATCCCCCACAAATCCCTTGCCAAAAAAGAAAAAGAGGTGGTTCACATTCTATGAAGCACTTATGCAAGGTCCAGACTGCTCTTAGTAGAGGGACAGGGCTCAAAAGTTATACTGCATGCAACAGTGTAACTTCTACACCAGACTGCCACGTAAGTGGAACATCTTTTCCCTGCACACGCTGTATCCTCAACACTGGATCCTTCTCTAATGGCCCAAGTTTAAGTTCCTGACCTTGACCCAATATATTAGATAGAGTACTTTTATTCTCTGTAGTGAAAAATAAATGGATTTTCAAAGAGAGTTTTCCTTGTAATACTCCCATAGAGACCATTCAAAGCAATAACTGCTTAGATTATTTACATGCTCATATATTTTCCTCTGAGTTTAGGGGAAAATGTAGTGATCACTAAAACATAAAAGATCTCACTTTCCTAATGGGTTTCCTAATTTGGGAGACAGGATGAAGCCAGAGGCAGGACTATAACTGGGCTTCAGCCAACACACCTGGTAATCCCTGGGGATAAAATGGCTCATCATAGGCTAGACGTAGTATTTGAGACACCCTCACAAAAACAAGTATAGCTGTCACTAGACCTAGCCTCCACATGAGGGACGACAAATGTGATTGAAGGCCTATGAGATGGCCTGTTCTCAGGCCCTTCTGCCCCGGGTTGGGGCTCTGGCATTAACCGTACAGTGGTATTCCAACCTGCAGAGTAGCAGAGTAGATCCTTACTCAGCCCCCCCAGGCATTTTTCCAAGAGTCCTCCCTTTGTCATTTTCTACTCCATATGTAATGCTGTTCCAGTTTCCTTCACTCTGAGAATATGACTTTGTATTCTTTGTCTGACTGCTCTGTAGCACAGTGTTCACAGTAATAGGTCTCATGTCATCACCTTCAGGGGTAGATTATAGAAATAGGGAAACCTTATAAACTCACATGAAAAGGAAACCAAAATGAATTATGGTACATCTAAAAGTGTAAAACTATGCAGCCCCTAGAAAAATGTACATCTACATGCAGTGATATGAAACATCTCCGAGATGGAGTGCAAAGTGAAAAAAGGAAGGTACAGAACAGTATGGACGGGTATGCTCCAAATTACATTTTTTAAAAGCATGAACATACACAGATACCACACATAAGAAAATGGCAAGTATGTCTGCTCTGGGGGGGGGGAATCAAGGGAATGCAGGTCAAAGACTTACACGTATGCTGTCTTATTTAATTCCCGTAACAACTATATGAGGTAGGTCATAATTTATCCCCATTTTACACATTAGGAAAGACAGTTAAGTAACATGTCTAAGGTCACACAACTACTCAGTAGTTGTAGCTGAAATTTCTTATTCCCAATCCCATACTGCCTTTAAAAACCCAGAGGACAATAGTCATTTTATGTTAAAAACAGGTTTTCAGAACTTTGCAATGAGACAGAAAAAGTTGTAAAATTAGGGACAGGAGGCAGTTTCTTTCTTTTTTTCTTTCTTTTCTCACACATATAAGTAATGTCCAAACAGCCTGCAGCTTAAGACATTGTGGTGTAAGGTACTTAAGGTGTGATATTAATATGGAGTCCACTCAGGGAACACTAGAAATTCTGCATGACAGTATCTTATTACTGTCTAAATAAAGCTATAGGCTTTAGACTGCAGAAACGAATATAGCAAAAGCTGAATTCTTCCACAGTTTTTATCTTGCGAGATGCCTTAAATTCAAGCTGGTTATGACGTGGAACTGTCTGGGGTAATGAGAACTGTAAAAGTGGTGTAAGTGAAAACCATGCCTAGCGCTTAAACGTTGAAAAACTGTTGACTGAGTGAATGAATTTAAGAGCTTCCTCAATTTGGCCTCAAAAAAAATTTCTTTTTCCCTACCCTACTAACACACTTTTCACATTGTCCACGACCATCCTCTCCTACACGTGCCCCCTCATTTCCCAGTCACAAGGGGATTTTCCCTCTTTTTTGAACCTTCACAGCCCCTCCCTTTCCACTCATTTCTGCATTAGATTTTGATTACCTGCCTCCATTTACAATCCCTACTACAGGGTTGTGAGCCCTTAGGGTGCAGAAACTGTCTTCCCTCTCCCTCTAGGGCTTAGGAGAAGGCTTTGGCTACAGCACTCAATAAACGTTAACTAAATAATTGGGCTAATGAGTGTCTCACCCTATCCCACCCCCGCCTTTGATACTAAAAAGCCCACCTTGAATATCTGCAGCGTTACCCCTTTCCGCAAAATACATTGTGACATAGCCTAGACTAAAATTTCTCTTCTGAAATCCAGCAATTCTCTGACCTTGCTATCCAAACACCTTCAACGTGCTTAGCTTGGCTGGTCCACCTCCCTACTCCGTAGCCTCACCGACAGCGGAGTCAGGACTTAACTCTGCCTCTCGTAACCACCGCGCAGAACTTCGTAGTACCATCCCATCAGAGAGGGAAAGGACCTGAATTGCCTAACGGCACTGTTTGGCTGATTAAGAAAAAAAAGCCCCTGTATCTGGGTCAGGAAGGCACCTCACCTCCACATATTCCAGAGGTGAAAAGGACACCCTTCCCCTCATCACATAGTCACTCCGCCGAGGCAAAGCCCATGAAAATGGGAGCCACCACTACTACCGCCGCTCAAACCTCTCTGCATTGGCCAAGTAGAGAGCGGCTGCAAGGGAATGCAAAAGCGAGCCTCGAACTTCCTTTCTTCAAGAGAAACTGGCGTCAGTGATATCCAAACGCCCTTCCAGCATCCATTCCCTGCCTCCCCAGCAGGCACTGGGGCCCCATTTGGCCTTTGGAGACACAAGCAGAATGGGATACGACACAAAGAAAAACGCAAAACGTTTCTCAGCGTTCTAGCCCAGGGCCTTCCCCTCTCGCGGCCCGGCCCCCCTCACCCGGAAGTGCTGGTCCCGGTACTGGCTCAGCTCCACGTAGGAGTCGCTGCGCAGCGCCTTCAGGCCACCAGACATAGTGCAGACAGGTGGACAAGGACGCAGCGACTCCTGGAACAACCAAGTAGCGTCGGCGGAAGCGGAAACGCGCGAAAGCGGCGGCCGAAAGTGGGACTCGTCATGCCCAATCCGAGTGCGGCAGTGTCGTCATCAGACGGCGCGGGGCGTCGCCGGTCAGAAGGTGGGAGCGGCGTGCTCCCGGTTCCGGGGCGCTCGGAGGAAGATGGTTCTCCGGCGGCTGCTGGCAGCCCTGCTGCACAGCCCGCAGCTGGTGGAGCGTCTGTCCGAGTCGCGGCCCATCCGACGTGCGGCGCAGCTCACCGCCTTCGCATTGCTGCAGGCCCAGCTGCGCGGCCAGGACGCGGCTCGCCGCCTGCGGGGTCTCGCGGCCGGGCCCGCGGAATCCCTGAGCCGCCGGGCTGAGAGATTCAAAGATACCTTCACCCAGGAGCTACGTCGCGGCCTCCGGGACCGGCCGGGGTCCCCACCAGGTAGCCAGAGGGGCCCTGGTACGAACACTTAACCAACCCCTGGCGTGGCTGAGGTCGTTTACTTTTCCTTCTGGGTTCTACAGCGGCCTCGGCGTTAAGGAATCATCCCGGGCAGTGCGCACGGCTTCGAATCCCGACTCAGATTGTTGGTCCGTGGACGTCCCACGCATAAGAACCTAGGCCAAACCGACATCCCCGTTGAAGTCCTGTGATTGAACAGGGCATAGTGTGGAGAAAGATCCCGAAGCCTGCAGAGAGAGAGATAGGCTGGGCCCGGACACAGAACGAACCACGGCCAGAAAGAGAGCCTTCCGTCCGCAGATGGGACTAAAACTCTCGATGGATGCTGCTGCATCTGCACTGCTATAACAGGACACTTAATTTCAGGGAAGATCATGGATGGAGAGACACCCTGCAGCTACCCAAATCCTCTAATTAAATGTGTGAGCTGACTAATAGGCGTGAGTGTGGTACTTTTAAGACAAGATGGATCTTGGGGGATATAGGCCCATGGTAATAATAGTTGACATATATTGAGTGGTTATTCTGTGCTGGCACTTGCTAATTGCACTCTATGTAGGCCCCCTCACTCACAACCACATTCATATGAGGAATTGAAAGCTACTTCTTAAGTTGTCCAAAGCCTTACAGAGTGGGATGTGAGCAGAGTCATTTGACTTCAGGGCCTAAGTCTTTAATCACAGCTCTCTGTAGCATTTACCCTGACCCTCAATGCCTGTCTTCCCCTGCCATCACCACCAGGCATTAAGACTACTGTGTATTTGGCCAGGCGCAGTGGCTCACGCCTGTAATCCTAGCTCTCTGGGAGGCCGAGGTGGGCGGATTGTTTGAGCTCAGAAGTTCGAAACCAGCCTGAGCAAGAGTGAGACCCCGTCTCTACTAAAACTAGAAAGAAATTAATTGGACAACTAAAAAATATATAGAAAAAATTAGCCAGGCATGCTGGCGCATGCCTGTAGTCCCAGCTACTCGGGAGGCTGAGGCAGAAAGATCGCTTGAGCCCAGGAGTTTGAGGTTGCTGTGAGCTAGGCTGACCCCACGGCACTCACTCTAGCCCAGGCAACAAAAGCGAGACTCTGTCTCAAAAAAAAAAAAAAAAAAAAAAGACTACTGTGTACCATGGAACAAGCTGCCTGGGTTCCTATTCCCCATTTTAGAGGGCCTAGGATACAAACGAAGACTTTGGTCCATCTAATGCTCCTTTGATTTAAAAGCCTGTTGTATACAGAAATGCCCTGTCATTTGAGGCTCCTAGCTAAATTTCTGATCATTTCTAATTAGGCTACAAAGTTAATTATGCAATCTAGGAAGCTTGAAGCCATAGGAGAAGCTTTTAGGCTGGTAACCAGATAGTGATTGAGCATTGTATGTTCTCTTTTCCCACTGGGGTGGGATGGGAGGCCCAAGACCCACAGCATTACTGAGAGGATAGAACATCTGGCCTCCCTAATCAGAGAGAATGATTCTTAAGGGCAAGGTGCAGGAATGGCTGGAGAGTTTCCTACTGTCTGTCAGGGACAGGAGTAGAAGAGCGTGGGGAGAAAATCTCCAGAATGATTTGTGTGGGTAATAACCAGATGCGGAGACAGCAGGTACCAAACTGCCATTAACTACAACACTACAGGGGACATCTGAACCACCTGTTCCCTCTACCACACTGCCTTGCGTGTATTTGGAAGGCCAGATTGGCCTTAGGAAGCCAAAGGGTTGTCATGACAGCAAGAAGTAAGGCACCAGGGAAAGTTTGGGAGAGGTCATTGAGGAATGTCATTAGCAATTTGTTGTCTTTTTTCACAACCAGGTGCTGTTATATATTTAAAACATCACAGTGGCTGGAAGGAATAGGGCAGGAACAGACATCAGTTGCCATTGGTTACACCAGGCTTCTTTGGGGACCTTGGCACCAGGACTGTGACAGGTCAGATCTTTAGTCTCTGAGGGAAGGTGCCAGCTCACCCAGAAGGCAGAACAGCCAACAGCTGTGCCCAGGAAAGGCCACAATGGGAATCCTGAAGGTGAGCCAGAGCCCTGTTCCAGGGTCCCAGCCCAGCTACCCAAGTAGAAGGTGGAGTGGCACCTTCTATGGCTGAATCTTGGGCAGTGGCTGGTCTGTCATACTGTCAGGTTTCAGCCCCAAGCTCCATGATGTGAAGACTGAGGTGGTCTCTCCAAGCCCCACTCAGCAGGGAGGACAGGGCTGGGGGGTCCTCCAGGGTCAAATGGGGGAACATGAGTGTCTCATTTTTGAGGTGGAAGTGGCACCTTTCCACAGCACGCCTGGTGGTGCCAGGGGTCACCACAAAGAGGCGGCAGAGCCACGGCCCACCGGCCACTTGGCAGGCTGGTTGTTTGGTGAAGCTTTTCAGGGCTTGGCACAGGACCCAGTCCTCAGTCCCACCCATGTCCACCACCTCCACAGGTGACCCCAGGCCTGGGAGGTGGAGGAGGTGCTGGGGGGGCATGTAGGTGTGGGTGAAGAGGAGTGTGTAGTGGGTAGGTGTGCCTGGGAGCACCGGCGTGTGGACCACCTGCTCCAGGTACTCCAGGCCTGGCAGCAGGCCCCCCTGGTGCAGGCAGCCGAAGAAGAAGGCACCTAAGACATTGAAGAGAAACAGGGTGCCCTTCCAGGGCACAGGGTGGGTCTGTGGGCTGCAAAGCAGGACTACGGGGACCAGGAGGGGAATTAGGAACCGAGCCTCCTGGTGGCTGAAGGCAGACAGCAAGGCCAGGGGCATGAAGTAGAGCAGAAGGAGGTAAGACCTAGGGCTGGACAGCAGGCTCCAGGCACCCGGCGCCCTCCGGAAGCCCGTGCGTGCAAAGGCCTGGAGGCAGACTCGGAGCTGTTGCCACGCAGCCTGCAAGGCCTGAGCATGCAGCACCCCGAAGAGCAGAAAGCCATTGACTGCCAGGTGAGTGAGCCGTGCGTGTGTGCCATGCCGTGCCAGGTTTTGGGGATTGAGGTTGTAGTGTAAGAAGTTGACGGGAGTGAGAACAAGGGAACTGGACCTAGAGGGGCTGGAGAAGTACCAGCTGTCCGTGGCCACAAACACCGCTGCTGCAAAGGCTGCCCCCGGGAGGAGTGACAGGGCCTTTCGGACAAGGGACTTGAAACCAGGGTTTGTGGTTCCACGAGTGCCCCAGAGGAAGAGGGGGACCAGAGCAAAGGCCAGAAAGGTGGGGCGGTTGAAGAAGCCAGCAGCCACGATGCCCCCAAGAAGCCAGCTGTGCCACCATGGCCTTGGAGCAGACTTATTGGGTGTGGGGCTCTGTATTACACGGGGGGACACCAGCACCAGCAGCCACGCGAAGAGCAGTCCCTCGATGTTGTTGGAGAAGGTCCTTGTGTAGAAGACCAGGGTGACGTAGGAGCCAGACAGCAGGACCAGGGCGCTCCAGCGGTTCGCCCCCCACAGTGGGGCCAGGTGGTACACAGCTGCATCCAGAGAAAAGGAGAAGGCGGTGACGAGCAGCCGGGGCCCCACCAGCAGCGTGTAGCCACTCACTAGGCCAGGCCACAGCCCCAGCTCTTCCCAGAGCCTGAGCAGCCAGAAGGTAGAGCCAGAGGTGAGCAGAGGGAAGACCACCGTGCGGCAGGAGTTGCTAGGGTAAAACTCCCAGGGCCGGGTGGCCTGCACGCCCAGGATGTCCTCTGCAGAGAGAGAGGCAGGGGTGAGCCAGTTCCAAGCTCAGGGGTGTGGTGGGCAAAATTCTAGGATGGCACCCAAGATTTCCCACCCCCTAGTGTGCACAGCCTGCATAATCCCTGGCCCTGGGATTACTCCTGTGATTAGGTTGTGTTATACGGGAGCCTGACTGTAAAATGGGGAGATTGCTGAGTGGGCCTAACCTGGTAACAGCAGCCCTTTAAAAGCAGAGTTTCCTCCAGCTGAATGCAGAAGAGGCAGTCAGAGGTTCAGAGCACGAGAAGGATCTGACGTGCCGCTGCTGGCTTAAAGATGGAAGCGGCTACTGGCTAGGAATGTGGGTAGTCTGTAGAAGCTGAGAGCAAGAAAACGGGGACCACAGTCCCGTAGCTGAAATGAACTAAATTCTGCTGGAATTAGAGAGTTCCAGACAAAATCTCAGACCTTGGTCCAGACCTTGATTTCAACCTCATGATACCCCAAGCAGACAGACCATGCAGGACTTCCGACCTTCAGAACTGTGAACACAAATGGGTACGCTTTTAAGCTGCTGGGTTTGTAATGTTGTTATGCAGCAATAGAAACAAACGGGAGCTCAAGGGGAGGCCCCCCCCTCGTGAAGGGGGCAGAAGGAACATGCCTGGGAGATGGGGTGACAATGAACCCTGGGAAAGGGTTGTGGGGAGCAGTGAGAGGGGCTTTTTCCTCTTCTTGGAGTTCCAAGATCTCACAAGTCAGTGAGAAACTCGTCTCTGTGATTGTTCTCCAGGGGAGGGGACGCAGCAATGGGCGGAGGGGATGAGCCATCAGGATTATGGTCAAAAGTGATTTAATTTTGTGTATGATACTTAAATTTTTTATAAGAAGAATATATCCGAGTAGTACTTATTAAAAAAATAATTCAAGTGTGGTGGTTGTTGGCCTGTGGTCCCAGCTACTCAGAAGGCTGAGGCGGGAAGATTGCTTAAACCCAGGAGCTTGAGACCAGCCTGGGCAATATCGTGAGACCTCATCTCTAAAAAAATAAATAATTTAAAAAGTTAAAAAAAAAAACTTGTTGCCTGGTGTGTGACCCTGTGCCCTGATGCCCCAAAGCTCTGAGGGGTGGGGGTGAGGGATCAAACTCTTAATCTCTGCAACTCCACTCCAACTCCGTGTACACAGCATTTCATGCTTGATAACCTTGCTGTTTGTGTAAAGCTGCTTATGTGGCCTGGGGGTCATTCGGGCTCTTTGCTTCTGCTACCTAATCCTCTGGCACGTTATGTATCTATGTCAGACGGTGAAAGGGAAACAGCAAATCCAGGATCAGATCAATCTGGTGGCTCTTTACTGGCTTAGCTTTTGTTTTTTATTATTATTTTTTAGAGACAAGGTCTTGCTCTGTTGCCCAGGGTAGAGTGCAGTGGCGTGATCATAGCTCACTGCAGCCTCAAATGTCCTGGGCTCAAAAGATTCTCCCACCTCAGCCTCCGGAGTAGCTGGGACTACAGGTGTGCACCACCATGCCCAGCTAATTTTTTAAACAATATTTTAGAGATGGAGTCTTGCTGTGTTGCCCAGGCTGGTCTGAAACTCCTGGCCTCAGAGGATCCTCCCATCTCAGCCTCCCAAAGTGCTGGGATTACAGGCATGAGCCACTGCGCCCAGCCTGATTCAGGCTTTGAAAAAAAATGTGGGAAAGAAGACTGAACCTTTCAACTTAAAAAACAAATCCACTTATTGAGCAAAGATAGCTGGATTTCTCCCCATTATCTATTTATCTATTTCCCCCTTCTTCCTTAGTCTTTTTAGCTGAGTGCTTGGTCAGATATAAAGACTACATTTCCCAGCTTTCTTTGCAGCTAGGTGTGGTCATATGATACATTCTCACCAGTGGGATGAAAATGGGCAAAAAGTATGTGACTTTCAAATTTGACCTTAATGACAGTAAGCATGCCCATCTCCTCTGTTGGCTGGAAAGGTGGTTTTTAGACTTGATAGCTGGAGCTTAAGCAGCCATTTGGAACCATGAGGAAGAAGCCACAAGCTCACAGCATCTGAAAAGCCTCAAGGCTCCCGGCAACCATCCTCATGATGTGTCCTATACCACCTAGCAGATAAGTTCTAACAAGCAGGCATCCTAGGTCTGTGTTCCCTCACCCCTCACTTGAAGCTGCAGAAGAAACATTTCATTATCTCAGCTCACAGCCCTGTGTAAGCTTCCCCAACCACTGGAGAAGCCCAACTCTAAAACTGTTCGACTGAGATGTCCAACACAGCTTTCATTCTAAATGACCTGTGCTATTGGTCCAAGAAGGAAAACATCAAAGAGGTTTGTTACTAGTATCATTCCGAAGGTCAGGAAGGAGATATGAAGTCCCCACTTCTAAGTTCTTATCCCAGAAAGGCTGCTGCTACTTTGCTTATGGATTTACTGCTCATCTGCACAGACATGCTTCTCCCTCTCCATGAAATATCCAATCAGCACCTCAACCAAACTCTGCTGCAATTTATCTTAACCACACATGGGGAGCTTTACCTGCCATGACCTCAGGTGACTGGAAGAACTCATCTGGGTGCACGTAGCCTGTCTGCGGAAGGAGGCACCACAGCACGCGGAGCAGGCTGAGGCCGCTCCAAAGCACCCTGGCTGCCATCTTCCAGTCAAATTGTTGCCAAAACGCTGGGCCAAGAGCCTGGAATGACTTCCCAGCTGCTACAGATGCTACTCTGGATCCACAGATCTGCATCTGTTGGGGATAAGATTTGTTAGCTATCATAATGTAAATTACAATATGTTCAACTATCTGAACAAACTCAAAATGGATCTACATTTAATAAAAGTGGTGATAATAATAATGGCTACTTTTTATTAAATGTCTGCTAAGTGCCAGGCACTTTATATGCATGTCTCATTTAAACATTTCCACAATCTGGGGACTTACTATCCCCATTTTACAGATGGGAAAACTGAGGCTTCTGTTGAGTAATCTGGTTACTTGCTAATCATATTTGCTAAGAGTCTGTGCAACTTTCACATATGCTGGAACCTGTCTTTTGGAAGGTGATGGGGACTTATGTAACTCCCCATGATGAGAATTCCGACTCCCTCAACTCAAAGATCAGTGAGAATCTGAGCCCATTGAATGCAGGAGTAGCATCTCTGGTGAACAGGAGGACAAGTTTGACAACCTGTTTGTCACTCCTCCAGAAATAGTGACTATGCCCTGACTTCCTGACCTTGGTATTGTAAACCCTGATCTTGAATAGTTATTGCTCTCAGGGGTAATGTCATAATGTCATCAAGACCAGACATCTTGTCAACAAGATGAAGTAAAGCAACAGAACAGAACCTGGCAGGTGGTGGCAGGGAGCCTCCGGATGCTCATTAAAACCTCACAGAGCTTGAAAGTTATTAATAAGTTTTGCAGCCTCTGCTCGAATGTTCTAACTGAATTGTATTTTTCCAGAGCCAGTGAAAATCCTGGCTTTTAGAGTAGAGTTTTCAGATAGAAGGTGAGGCCAACAATGTATACACATGTCAAAACATAACATTGTACCCCATAAATATATGCAATTACTATTTATCAAGTAAAAGTTAAAATTAAAAAATGATAAGGTCAAACAGTGCCAGGATGCAAAGGGTCAAATCAGAATAGTTTTCCTCATCAACAGCCAATATGATACTACAAGACAGGCGTGGGTGGAGAGGGGAGGCACAGTATCCATCAGAGAGGCACAAACTTTGGGGTCCTGCAGGCCTGGTTCAAATCTGGAGTCTGCCATTATTAGCTGTGTTACCTTGGACAAGTTGCTTATATCCCTAAACCTCGGGTTCCTCGTCGTTAAGTCAGATGATAGCATCAACCTCCTAGGGCTAAGGGCGATTTAGAGAGTGATGCATGGAAGGCACTTAGTACACAGAGCTCGCACATCTAAGTGATCAATGAAAAGTCATTCTTACTATTAATACTTTCAGTTGAGGCACGAGTAATAAAATCCAGGCTACCCCAGACACTCTAGGAGATCCTCAACATCAGCACTTCTACTGGCCATGACAATAAACAGGATTTGATTTAGTCCAATTGTCAAGATACATTTATGCTATGTTTGAAGCTTTTCTCTAAGTACAGAACTTTTACTACATGATTAAGATTAAAGAATAAAATACCAAATTCATCATACCCGATTGAGAAACCCAGGCTGCCCTGCACTAATGCAAGCAGTTACAGAACACAGCCTGGATCCTGGTCCGCTGTTTTCCCTCTGCAGCAAAGGAAGAAATTCAACAAGAGGACACCAGGATCTATTCCCCCTTTCCCAGGTGACGGTGCTCAGAATTTCCCCTGAGAACTGCATCCTTCACTCCTTGCCACCAATGTTCAGCCACATGGCTTGGGATTTGATCCATTCCCAAATCCAAGTATAGTCTCTGAATGGTTTAAGCCAAATAGCTTTCCCATCCCATTGATCACGCTGATCGTCTCAGGGTCGGGCACGTGACTCACACCGGTGCAATCGGAGGAGCTAGGGAAAGGCTGGTAGAGGCGGGTCACCCCTTGCTCAGCGTCTCCAGTTCCATCGGGGTCTGCCACACACCCGCATTGTGACCTTCAGGACCTCATTCCTTCTCAGTCAGGACCCACACGTTAACAGTAGACACCCTGGCAGGCTGGGAATTCAGTTATGTTGTCATTCCGTTGCAGGATGAGACTTGGTTTTCAGGATGAGATGGAGTCTGGTTTTTAGCAATCTCAGCGCTCAAGTTTCAGGAGCTAAGCGGTCCCTTCTCAGGAGGCAAAGAAGCATTTTGTGACTTACACCAAGAACTCGAAGCCCTGAGCTCATTTTTTCCTTTTCTTACTTTGTTCACGTTTAGGAGCAACCAGCTAGTCTCGTCCTACTCATGAATTTGACTAAAAGGTTCCCAGGTGTTACATACACGGTTACCCAGGACGTTGTCTGGAGTCTCCAATGGCGATATTTTGCGCACCTCTAATGCCACGTCACTCCATGGACTACCAGTGTTCTCTTTACCACTGGAAATAGAGTCATTTGTGCCTTTAAATCTAGTCGGACTGGAGAGAGAACCAATCCCAGAAAACCCAGAACCTATTCAGAAAATGCATCCTTAAAATCCAGTTCCTCTAGAACCACTTCCAGTCCCCAAATCTGTTATATGTCAGGGTTAAACCAGAGAAAGAGAACTAGTAGGAGATGTATGATACGATTTACTGCAAAGAATTAGCTGTGCACTGGGGGCTGGGGTGCTGCCGAGTCTGCAGTCTGTGGGGCAAGCGATCGGGAAGGGCTGGCTGTGCGCTTGGGCAGGCATGAAGCTTCGTCCACGGGGATAGTATCTTCTTATCCAGGGACGCCTCAGCTCTGCTCTTCAGACTTTTTAATTGATTACATCGGCCTGTACAGATTATGTAGGATAATCTCCCTTAAAGTCAATCGATTATGTACTTTCATCACTTCTATAAAATACCTTCACAGCAATCCTTCGATTGGTGTTGACTGAACATGGGGACTATAGCCTAGTCAAGTTGACAGAAGAAACTGACCACCACACCCTAAATAATTCCGTGTTTGTAACTGTGTCTGAATTTTAGATCAATGGAATAATTCTTTATGTAACTCATCAATGACTTGCTTCTTTAGCTTAACATTCTGTTAGCTGTAGCCATCATGTTCCATTGCGTGAATAGACTAAAACTTGTTTATCCTTTTACATCAGCTGGGTTAGCTCCAGGTATTTACAATTTTTTTTTGTTCCTAACAATGCTGCTATAAATATTCTTGTACAAGAGTTCTCTGAGGTACAAACTCAGCAGTGGAAATCCTGAGTCACGGTGAGGCACACTTTCAACTTCACTGGACTATGCCAAGCTGTTTCCCAGAGGTTCCCGCCAGCTGGTTATGTACAATGTCACAGCGCCCATCGCTTCATGGGCTCATTTGTGCCTGCTAGTGGCTGACATTTTGATTTTGTAAATCTTGTGGGCATTAGCATGCATTTCTCTGATTACTAATGGGATTGAACACCTTTTCAAATGTTTGTGGAACATTTTTCTTTCTTCTATGGAGTTCCTTTTGCCCTTTTTTATTGGGTTGTCTGCCTTCTTCTTACTATGTGTAGGAATTCTTTATGTTTATTGCATAGCTAATACCTTTTTCCAATTTGTGGCTTGTATTCTTTTTTTATGGTAAACTCTCATTTCCCTTTCTTTTTTTGTTGACACATAATGGTTTACATATTTATGGCATATAAGTGATATTTTGTCACATGCATAGAATGTGTAATGATTAAGTCAGGATATTCAGGGTATCCAACACCTTGAATATTTATCATTTCTATGTGTGGGGAACATTTAAAGTTCTCTCTTCAACCTACTTTGAAATATACAATATATTTTTGCTAACTATAGTCACTTTACTCTGCTATAGAACATTAGGCAGGCTTCTTCCTTTTCTCGGTTAAATAAAAAATTTTTTTTAGAGACAGGGTCTCCCTCTGTCACCCAGGTTGAAGTGCAATGGCATAATGTAGCTCACTGTAACCTCAAGCTCCTGGGCTCAAGCAATCCTCCTGCCTCAGCCTCCAGAGTAGCTGGGACTATAGGTGTGTGCCACAATGCCTGGCTAATTTGTCTATTTTTAGACAGGGTCTTGCGATATTGTCCAGGCTGATCTTTAACTCCTGACCTCAAGCAATCCTCCCACCTCAGAGTCCCCCATAGTTGGGACTACAGGCATGAGCTTGGCTAGAATTTATATCTTCTATCTAACTGTGTGTTTGTACTGTGGCTTTGTATTAGCTCATTTTTATTCCTTATGTTGGGTTACTTGTGTCTTCTTCTTCTTTTTTTTTAAATCATTCTCACCAGAATTTTGTTGATTTTATGAATCTCTTCAAAAAATCAAATTCTGGCTTTGTTCTTTCAATTAATTTCTTTTCTCATCTTTATTTTTTCTTTTTGCTTTTTTGGTGATTTATTTTACTGTTTTATTTCAAATCTTTTGATATGAACACAGCTCATTAATTTTGAACCTTGTTTGTTTTCTATGAGAAGTATTAAAGGTTATACATTTTCCTCTACAGTATTAACTGCATCTTACAAGTTTTGCTGTCTAATAGTTTTATCAACTTTTGATTCTAAATATTTCTAATTCCCATTGTAATTTCTTCTTCAACTAATGCTTTATGGTTGAAGTATTTAATTTTTAATGATCCATCCAAGGTATTCCTTGGATGCTTGAAAACACCATGTCTTCTATACTTATTCGATGTATGTTGATATAAATATGATATATGTTGATTAAATCAAACTGGTCAGTTGTGTTGCTCAAATCTTTTATATCCTTATTGATTTTCCATGCTTATTTTTTTCATTAAAGAACACATGGAAAGCTTCTCAGGGATGAAGAGGAGGGGCTTACACTATACATCACAATAAAAATTTAATAATTCTTAAATATTTTCCCACTTCCCACTCCAAAGTTTCACTGCATACATCAGTGGGCACTGTACTGCTTATTTTATCAATCACAGAAATGTGTGTTGATATAGCTCATGAAATAGTGGATTGGTCTAATTTTCCTTGTAATTCTGTCCATTTTTGCTCATTTTTGAAGTTATGTTATTATATTTGTAAAAGTTTACAATTGTTATACTGTATTGGAAAATTGAATGTCTTGCCATTATCTAGGTATATATACCTTTTCATCTCTAATAATGTTTTTGCCC